CACGGACGCGAGCGGGCGGTCGTACCACCCGGCGTGCTTCGCGTGCGCGGCGTGCGGCAAGCAGCTCACGGGCGACTACCACGTGGTGAGCAGCGGCGGACAGGACCGGTTCTACTGCACGGAGGACTTCATCGCGGCCAACTCGCCCGCGTGCGCCGTGTGCGCGCAGCCCATCACCGGGACCGGGGCCGAGGACCACACCGGGGCCAAGTACCACCTCAACTGCTTCGCCTGCAAGCGATGCGGAACGCCCATCACCAACAAGTACATCGTAGACTCCCAGGGCGACCTCTGCTGCGGCCACTGCCACTCGTCGTCGCCGCCGGGCGCGGCGGGCAACTCGTCGTCGTCGTCATCATCGTCTGCGGCGGGTGACAGCTCAACCTTCCGCTGCGGCGTGTGCGCCGGGGAGCTCTCGGGGCAGGTGGTGGGCGTGGGCGACACCCGCTACCACAAGCACTGCTTCGTGTGCCCCGGCTGCAAGGCCGACCTCACCCACATCCCCTTCCACCTCGAAAACGGTGAGTTTAGCGCCGCTGCAGCCTCCCCGATGCCTCTCTCTCATCCCCCCATCTCCACGCTGATGGTTCCTCTCCAAATCCAGGTCAGCTGCGATGTAAGAAGTGTCTTCTCACCGAGAAGGGCGAGTTCTGCGCCGGTACGGCTGCGCTGGCGTGCCTCGAAAAACGCGCACTAACGAATTCGAACCGACTGGCGGTGTGGTGTGGTGTTGTGCGTGCGGTGTAACAGCGTGTGGCCAGTTGATCGAGGAGGGAGCGCTGCAGGCCATGACCAAGCTGTGGCACGAACACTGCTTCAAGTGCGGAGACTGCGCCAGCGTCATCGGGGCCGGGCAGTCCTACGCCGCCAAGGGCCAGACGCCCATTTGCGCCAGCTGCGCCACCAAATACTGAGTACTGCCTGTGATCGAACAACACTGACAACAAATAAGACGTCTGCGGGTCCCGATCGTTGCTTGCCTTTTTCTTCTTGGTTATTCTTCTTCCTCTTGTTGTTGCTGTTCATCATGTTCTCTTTGCCTTGCGTGCCCAGCCCCCTCTCCCCTCCCTTCACTTGGACGTCGGCCGTTGACCCTCCGCGGAGCGAGATCACTCGCTGGACTTCTCGGGAATGGCCGGGAGCTGCTTGTAGGAGCTGTTCATCTGCAGCTTCTGCAGCTTCGAGGTGACCGAAGTGAGCTTGTTGATGGCCATCGTGGCCAGGATGGCGTGCTAGCAGTTTGAAAGAGAGGAGGAGAGACGTGTCAGCATCGCTCCCAAAGAGAGTTCTTAAGAACCTTTTGCGAAACCAAAAGCGGACAGGGGTGCGCACCTTCCACTTCCTCTTGGCGTTGAACTTCTTGAGCTCGCTGAGTGTGCCTTGCAGATGATCGTCCGGTGCGGCGGAGCCCTGATGTTCAGCAAAACGTCGTACACGCGCGCGTTAGGGTTTCCCTGGACCCAATATCACACCACTTCGAGGTCAAGGGAGGCTTCACCTTGACCCAGGGGTGCTGCAGCGCTTCGGCGGCCTTGATCCTCTTGGCCGGGTCCACGATCAGGCACTTCCTGATCAGATCCTTGGCCTCGGCCGAGATGGTGTCCCAAAGCGGAGCGGGGAACTCGAAGTCTCCCGCCAGGATCTAGCCTCCGCATCAGATGGGATGTGTGAGACGCGGCACAGTACAGTACGGTACAGTATTCACAATCATCATACCTGGTCGAACACTTCATCGTCGTCTTCGGCATAGAAAGGCGGGTAACCGCAGAGCCTATGCAGCGCAAGAGAAAGCGTGGTGAGCTTCACTGCTCCATAATGATCTCAGTCCAGGAAATCACCGGACCAAGGGGCGAGACGTACAAAATGTACATGACCACGCCCACAGCCCACATGTCAACTTCGAGGCCATATGAAGTGCTATCATCTTCAAGGCACTGCACAACCTCGGGAGCTGTGGACAGGTAAAGTGGTCAAGTTTAGTGAAAACTGCCAAGGCGGCGCAGGTCCAAAGAGAGAGGCACCACGCACCCACATAGCCCGGGGTGCCAACGGGCACGTTGAGCAGGTCGTCAGGGTCCACCACCTTGGAGAGACCAAAGTCGGCCAGCAGCACGGGGGAATCGATGCTATCGTTGGCCAGCAGAAGGTTCTCGGGCTGTCGTTGAGAGCATTCGCGTACGGTGCATTAGTCACACATGAGAGCTTACCGCAGCATCAACAGTGAGTGGCGCACCTTGAGATCTGCTCGGCCAAGCGCGCAAAGCAAAAAGTAAAGCAAGCAACGTCGTTCACAGGTCAGTCAGAAGAACGCGAGGGGGTGTCTGCGCAACGAGCGCAAGCAGAGAGGAGGAGGCCTTACCGCGGTGAACGATCTTACGCTCGTGAAGGTGCGCAATGGCGCTGATGATCTGGTGAATGAGACGCGAAGCATCACGCTCGGAATACGACTGAAGCTGTACGATCTTGTCGAAGAGCTCACCTCCCTTGATCCTGGAGTAAGTGTAGGCGAGTGGGTGTGAACAGGTGTAGCAGCAGCAGCAGCAACAACAACAACAAAGTACAATAGTAACAAAAAGACGAAAAATGAGAATAAAGCAGAAGAGGGTGAAGGAAGGGCGAGGGTGGTGTACAGCTCCATGATGATGTAGTAGTGCTCGTCGGTTTCGAACACCTCAGAGAGGCGCACGATGTTGGGGTGCTCGCACGAAGAGAGAATGTCGACTTCAGTCTGAAGCATCTGAAGGCCCTTCGGGCCAGCATCCTTCTTGGTGATGATCTTGGCAGCCCATTCCTTGCCGGTTCCCTTCTCTATCGCCAATTTGACCACTGAGTAGTTACCGCTGCTCATGGAGAAGCGATTGATTGGCGTCAGAAAATATAATCTCTTGAAATTGGGGGAACACTCCTGTGGGAGGCGCGTACGAGCCCAGAACGGCGCCGACGTCGTATTTCTGGGTCACGGGGGTCTTGAGAATGGTGGCTCGCTTGAGTTGAGTGTTGTCCATCTTCCAATCACTAGGTTTGTAATTGAACATTTAACAAAAATAAATAAAAAGGGCTGAGACACAAGAAGGGAGGGGGCGCAATGAGCCTCGAGCCAAGGGTGGAAGGAGAAACACAAAGTGGATCGACGACGAACCGAAACAAAAGAAAACCGGCACAATGGGACTGCGGGTTGCGTCTGCGGGTTGCCGAGTCAAAGACAAGATGAAGGACAGTCGTCGGCAAGTATTTTTCGAGGCGTGCCCCTTCGCGGAAAGAGGAATGGCCCAGATTACACTGCTTGACGACAGGCACCCAGCGTCGATTGGGCTGACGACCCCACAAAGCGGCGGGGGTATTCAGAAGGCGCCCATGACGTTGGCACTGCCTCGCATGATGTTGGTCGCCTGGGTCTCCTCCAGCAGATGGCCGTCGTCTGCCTCGCCCTGGTCGGCTCCGCTCAGAGGCCGGTCGTCCTCGGCTCCTCCGTTGGAACGGGTGCCATCACGGCTGGCGACGAGGTCGCCGTTCTTGCGCTGCTTGTGCTTCTCGCGGTAGTTCTCCAGTCGCACCATCTGCTCCTTCATCCCCTCGATCACATTTTGTAGCTGCAGTATCCGCAGTTGAGGGGTCAGGCGTGGCAAGCTGGGCGGTACGAGGTGCCTGGACGTGCACGTGTGCGGACAGAACTACGTTAGCCAGCGCCCAGGCGGTCCCGCTCAGCCTGCATAGTCAAGGCAAGCGCAAACGTACCGCATGTGGTAGCCCTTCCACAGGGAAAGCGAGAAGAAGGAGACGTCGGGGAAGAGAACTGACATGTCGGGCACGTAGAAGGGGTTGAGGTACTCCCGCCTATTCTGCTCGCAGTTGGTATAGCTCCACAGCGACACTGTCTTCTCCTTCAATCGCTGATCCGCCCGCTGCTTCTCCGTATCACACAAGAACGTGCCGAATCTGCGGGCAGTGTCGTAAGCGAATGTGAGCGACACGGGTGGGCGAAAGCAGCAGGGGGGGGGAACCAACCGACACGAGTAGAGATGCTCAAGAATGGCGATGAGGAACTTTTCGTTGAACTCAAACAAGCACGGGTTCTGCTGGGTGAGCTGCCACACGCAATCGATAAACTGGTGCGGACACATACATCCGCGATCAGCACCATCACCACGCAGCTGCGTAGATTTGCGAAAGGAGGTGCTGGCAGGCACCTGCAGGAAAATGGGTGCGCGTTGCGAGTCCTGGTGGTTCTTGTCTCCGTGGCCGCAGCGAGTGGAGAATTTGTGCCCTGTCGAGAAGAAGAGGAAACACACGAGGTAAGGCGGCCCCTCCAGGGACGGCACGGGACGGTGGAGGAGGAGCGGGTAGTGGAGTACCGAAGCTGAGCCACTCCTTTTCGATGAGGACCTGAAACCCGACGGTGGTGCGGAAGTAGGGATCCAGGAAGATCTGGGCCAGCGAGGAGAGCTGAGCCGTCCGGTCCCAACCATCGGAGCAATGCAGAGTCACCGGGCAGCGTTCCTCCTCCACCAACCGCGCGACCTAAGGAAGAGCGGCAGAGACCTCACGTTAGAGGAGAGGGGGGCACGCAGGAAGGAACCGCCAGGAGTCACAAAAAAGCCTCTTATAATGGATGGGACGAATACCTTGAGGGCGCCCTCCAGGATGAGTTTGATGTAGTCGATCCATTTAGAAGCGTCCAGGGCGGAGAGTATTCCTCCCTCGCACTCGCCGGCAGCCATCACGCAGACGCTGTTCAGCTTGCTCTGACTGTTAACATGAAAATTGCACCCAAGTGTTACCACACGCTTACAGACTGCGCGCAGGTGGTGGTGGGGGAACGACGCACGATTCTCTGATGACGTGGATGTTGGGTATGCCCAAGTACTCAAACTTGCACTGGGGATATCCCTGCAGGTTCTCGATGCCGCCGCCCTTGGCAGCGTTGGCATAGGCATTGGCTCGCGGCCTCGCGTCCATTATGTACAGCTGCTTTTGACCGGAACCCGCGCTCGACCCTCCGAGGCTGTTGTCGAGCATCAGCCGGAAGAGCTTCTCGTCCGCCATCGAGCGCGTGCGCGTCAAGCCTGTAAGAGCCGTTTGGGTCAACACCACCTTGTCCCTTTCGCCAAATGAGGAGCAGGGGCACAGTACCAGCGAGAGGCTGGCTGCAACGGGCGATGGCGACGTTGTTGGTGTGCCGATAGCACACCACCGGCATCCGCCCCTTGCTGCGAAACGCGAACACCTCCTTGAGTTCTTCGTCGGAGATGCCCGCGGGTACGGCCAGCAGGGAAGGGTAGCTTTCGCAGTGGGCGTAGTCCTTGTTGACGTCCGTCAGCCGCCATTTGCTGTTGGGGACACCCTGCCTGTGGGGTGGTTGAACGGGTGGTGTTCTGTCGGCCGCGAGAGAACAACAACAACAGAAAACAGCGCAGAGGAGGGAGCAACCTCTGAAACTCAGCTCGAGCGGAGAAGATGCGCCAGCCCTCGCTTTTCCACTCGTCGTCTTCGCAGTCTCCCGCTCGATCGGACAGGCCGCCGCCGAGCTCCCGATCGGCTTCCGCCTTCGCCCTCGATTTCAACTCTCCGCTGTCGCTCATCTGCGGGGCAGCGGAGTAGTCGTCGATGAGCTGGCTGGGCTTGTAAAAGAACGCAAACAACCGCTCCGGCGTCCTTGGGAACAAAAGCCTATACAGCCCGCGCCCAGTTAGGACCCAATACACATACATACACAACACACACACACACACACACACACACCAAACAGTCACAAAGGGCGCGTACCCGCTCTCGACAAGGCTTCGATGGAGAGTGTCGCGCTGGTGCTTTTCGGTCCTGCCGAAGAGGAACCGGAGGGCACGGAAGTCCTTGCTGTGCACTTCGACGTAGTACTTGCGCGCGTTGTTCTGCTTGCCCACCTCGACGCGCGAGATGGCCCCCAGCGGGAGGGTCACCGCCAAGCAGGTGTCCTCCTCCGACTACATCCGTCCCCCACACATACAAGCAATGCGCGGCCTTGAGCGACTCCTCCTTCGCAGAAGCAACAAGGCAGGGAAAGAGGGGAAACGGCGTACTGCGGAGAAGGCAAATGTGGGTACGAACAGGGCCAGACGATAATTGGTGATGTACAGATCGCCCGTGTATCCCGCCGTATCCACGTCCTTGATATAGGGCGGCGCCCAGTAGGCGTTGGCGATGATCTTGACCACCACCTGCCACCGCCAGAGTGCCACACAGTGAACCTGCGAAACCAAACGGTGCTGTGGTGTCACGGAGAGGAGGGGGGGCTTACCTCTCCCTCCAGGCGAGGGAACAGCTTGAAGGACGCGAACTCTCTGAACCCTCCGCTGTCTCGGCTTTCTTCCTTCGCCTGTGCAGGCGAGCACCAGGGAATTCATGTTCAGCTTTATGGAGGCGGGACACACGGAAAGAGTCTTAGCGGACTACGTACGTTCTCTTCGGCCGGTGGGTCGGCCTTGATGAGCTTTAGGCGGTACCCACGAGCCTCGCCGGGACGCTGCCCTCCGGCGTCTGTATTCCCCTTGAGCACCAGCACATCCTATGGACGAGCAGCGATGAGTTAGCTCATGGCACAGAGGACATCACTGAGACTCGAGGGCTGAACACGTACACCCGGCTCGAGGCTATAGGCCGCGATGGTGCTATCCACCGCAGCGAAGGTCCCTCGACCCTCCACCCAGATGCCGTACTCAGCGGCGGCTGCCCGCTCCAAGCCCACCTGACCCCACGCGGCATCGAAGTGTCCCCGGCTCAGCCCGAGAAGACAAATAGGGCCGACAGGGAGAAGGCGCGTACCGAGACCGCCATTTGAGTGATGGCGTCCTTGATGGGGATGTCGCACGGTAGGAGCAGGGTGTTGGTGTCGGCCTCCGGCAACCCCTCCAGCCGAAAGTGGTAGAGCGACTTTTCCTTGAACCCGACGATATCCTGCAGCGGGGGTGGGGCTCACATCCACATTAGGCCACATGCACCCAAGACTGGGCAGCAGTGGCCGCAGGCTTCGTACCATGTGAGTGATGTTGTAGAAGGACAGCGGCTTGTTCTCCTGCAACCACATCCCGTGCGTATTGTTGTAGAGGTAGAGGCCGTAGTGCACTCGCGAAGCTGAGGCGAGCACCGGGGCGTGAGTGCCTCCGCTACTACAGGGCTGCATGGAGTGGATGCGGAGGCTACGGCTCGTACCTTTGCTGGAGCCGTAGGCGGGCGGGACCCGTTGATTGATCTCCTGCAGCACATGGCCAACGCTGTGCCGTGTATCAAACCCGAACGTACGAGTCATCTGTATGGGAGCATCAATGAGTACACGGCTGCTGTGGTCGACGAACAGTGAGAGATGGGGAGAGGGGAGAGAGGGTACAATCTGGTCGTCGGCGTCGTGAATGAGGACGCGGAGGAACACTTGCCGGTGGATGGGGTCGTCCCGGCCGGGCCGGGCCTTGATCTCCACCACTTGCTGGAGAGGAGAACGATGAGCGGATTGCCCCCCTTATAATTGTTGACAGTTGGGGGTGACGTTAACCTGGTAGGAGAGGTTGTACATCCAGAGCGGATAGCTGGGATCCATCCACACGCCGTCGTTGCTGTCGTCCTTCGGTGGCAGGTAGAGCCCCAACAGCTCCTGTCGCGGTGAAACAAGCGAGCGCGTCAGTGCACCACAAGGACCGCCGGGCTGGGCTGGGCGTGTAGCCGCCGCACCTGGGGGACGGAAGTGATGCGCTTGCGCTCCTTGATCTTCTTGAGGGCCTCTGACACGAGCATGCGCGGCGAGAAGCGGTAGAACTTGAAGTCCATGACGTCGGGCAGCGTCACCTTCACCACGAAATCCTCGCGCGGGTACTTGAGCCGCAGGAGCTCGCACCGCCGCTGCAGCCTCGGTCGCCTCTGTCCCCCCCGTGGCCACCATGGTGCTCTCTCATCAGCCCACTCTGTCCCTCCACGACACGCAGCGAGGAGAAGGGAGGAGGAAGGGGGCGCACTCAGACCTTCCATAGCTGATCGTAGAGGAGTTCAAAGTGGGTGGTCATGCGTGGAGATAAGGACTGCTGCTCGGCTGTCTGCTCCGGCGCGGATGATGCTGAGGCCTGGCGCGGCGGCGGCACTGTGTCACACACACCACGCATAGACCCCACCACCCACCATAGCCACAACCGAGGGTGTGAGGTCCCAGTCGCTTCTTCCCTCGCGCGCGCGGGGAGTGGGTGGGCGTGTGTACGTGGGGGCAGCTTCTTCATTGGGGGCCGATTGGAGAGACCGGGGACCGGGACCCTGTCCCTGCTGCAGCAGTGAGTGAGGCAAGGAAAGAGATTTGATGTGTGCAAGGGGGGGGGGTTTACGTGTGACCGACTTCGGTGTCGTCGGTGCAGCTGGCCTCGTCCCTGGCGCCAGCTCCTCGCCTCATCCCCTTGAAGGGGAACAACTTGGCAGGATTCATCCTTCTCCTCAGGAGTTGTGGGAGAGAGTTGGGCAGTCGTGTGCTCTGGTGCAACCAAAGCACCAGCCCGTGCGTCGTGTTTCCCTTCCCTTTTCTTTTCAAAAATAATCACAAAAAATAAAAAAGCGCACAAAAAAAGAAAATCAACAATCGAACCAAACCATCGAAAAGATGAGCACGGGGCCAGTCATGATGAACGCTGGGCAACAGCTGCAGCCTTCCCCAACGTCGGCCCTGGGTGCGCTGGGTAGTCCGCCCCTGCAGCACGGTGCGCCTCCCGCCCACACGCCGCCCCTCGCGCCCGCCGGTGGCCAGCTGCAGGGTCCACGCACACCGCCGCCGCCACTGGCGTCGCTCCCTTCTACCGCTGCTGTCGCTGCCAGCTCGGCTTCCCCCGCCTCCGTGCTTCCCAAGCTCGAGGAGCTCCTCTTCCAGGTGCCAGCCTCCTCCATGAACATTGCGTCTTGCTATCGTAACCAACACCGGGTGTGTCGTGTGTCGTGTGTCGCGTGTGTGTGTGTGTGTGTGTGTCATGTGTGTGCGGCGCAGGTGAACTCGCTGCGCTCAGGGTGTGGTCACATTTTCCAGACGTTCCAGGACGTCGCCCGTGCTCCTGATGGCGGTGCCACCCCCACCCCCCGTTTGCTTCGAAGTGCGCTCAGCCATCTCACCGCCGCCGCCCTTCCGTACAATCCTCCCCTGTGACAGGACAACTGAGCAAGGCGGTGAGCAACCACGTGCGGAATGTCGTGCGCTCCCTCAAGCGCGTCACCGAGTTGGGCAAAGAGCTCCAGCGTACGTTGCCTCCTTCGCGTGCCCAGGTACAGCGGGTCATCATCGATTTGACGTGAACGTGGCGCGCTGCAGCGTACCTGGTGCCCCTCAACTCGTCCGCCGATGGCCCGGATACCTCGTCCACCAGGTCCGTTAGTTCCCTCGCAAGGGTCCCCTCGCATGTGAGCTCACTCACCGATATGTCGAAAAATGCACGACACACACACACACACACACACACGGCGCGTGCAGGTCGAGCGTCTTCACCGAAGAGCCACTGATGTCGATACAGGGCGCCATCGAAGCGGAGGCCAAGTGGCGCGAGATCATCCAAAAGCGAGGCCACACCGCGAAAAGGTGCGTACGCCTCGGTTTGAACTTGATCTTGAGAGGAGGGGGGGGCGTGCTGACGATCCATTGTGGTTCCGCCGACAGAGTGTTTGAGGAGCAGGTCCGCCTCAAGTTTCCGCTCCTTGCCGACGACGCTCCGAACAAACGACGAAGGCTGGAGATTGCCGATCCGCACGCTCTCGCTATTCGAGCCGCCCTTAATGGGTGTGCCCAATCTCTCCTCCCCCCCCCCGCGCGCGTTGCTTCCGTGCCAACTGGCGCTCACCGTGGCCACTATGCAGCGATTCCACACAGGAGCAGCGCCTGTTGGCCGAGGTGGGGCGCGGGCGGGTACTCGAAATCAGCCCCCTGCACCAGGAGGGATCCCTGGTGGGGATCACGGTACACCCCCCCCCCAAGCAACTCCCCATTGGCCCCGCTCACTGCGCCCACTTGTCTGCTGTGCAGGTCGTGCGGGATGGGGTGTTCCGGGCTCGAGTGTTGTTTAGGCTCCATGCACCCCGGCATGCCATGCCCGACGGACCTCAGTCGGATCGAGCGACAGACGGCGAAGGCAATCTAATGGCGGATCACATAGTGGTGCGTGTATATCTCCTATTTCGCACGAGTGGGAGGCGAGCGCTTAGCCAACCACGTTTCCCCCTCCCCCCCCATTCCCTCGGCGATCGGCGACAGGTGTGTGGCATTGAAGAGGATCTCCCCAGCGACACCGCGAGCTTCATTTCGGTCCACAGGTACGAGCGCCCTCCATCCCACCTTTCACTGTCACGGCTTTCGGCTGAACTAGCGGGCAAAGAGCGTTCCAAGCGATTACGGCGAACGCGGTGCTGGCGGCCCAGCACTACGCCAAGCGAGCCCTGCAAACATCCGCTCCGCCAGCGTCGCCAGTGCGCAAGCTGCTTGTACGTCCATTCCCATTGTTCACCCTCTCCTCCGCATGCGGCCCTAACACCCTCTTTGTGTTGCTTCGACCACGCACACAGCGATGGCTGGAGAGCTTCGGGTCAGTCTTTGGCGAGGCCTGCCGCGGGTGCAAGAGATACCTGTACAACGACTCGGAGCACCTTCTCTTCCTGCCGCCCACCTGGCGCACGCTGGACAAGCAACTGCCCTACCACCCGCAGTGTCTCTCAGCCTTCCCCCACCAATAAACCACCAGTGCCACCACCCCTTGGTGTGTTGCGTCGGTGGCGGAAGTTGGGAGTTCACAAAAGAAATGTATTATTATTAGTAGATAAGAGGATAGAGAAGGGAGGGGGCATTTACTCGGTCTTCTTCTTCTTCTTTTTCTTGTCCTTCTTGGGCGTCTTCTCCTTCTCGGACTTGGTGTCCTCGTCGTCGTCCCTCTTCCTCTTCTTCTTGCCGTCCTCGATCTTGCTGCCCTTCTTCTTTTCCTTCTTCTCCTTCTTCTTGTCCTTCTTGGACTTCTCGACCACCTCCATCTCGTCGCTGTCCTTCTTGGACTTCTTCTCCTTCTTCTCCTTCTTGGGTGTCGTCGACGTGGTAGTCTCGGTCTTCATGGTGTTATCGGCGGCCTCGTTGTAGGTGGACGACGACCTGGGAGCGGCAGGCGATTTGGCTGACTTGGTGTGATCGTAGGCAGGGACGTGCTGAGTTCGGCCCTTGCTCGCGCTGACGTGAGCACGGCCGCCCTCGAGTAACCGCAGGCGCTGCTCCACCTTCTGGTAGCCCTCCTCGCCGATCTCGCGCGTGGCGTTCTCGCCCAGGGCGTCCACACGGATGGCCAGAGCCGAACGCGAGGCCACAAGACGAGAGATCTGAATTGGGGAGGGGGATACACCATCGGACACGTTAGCGGCTGTCCGTCGTACAAAAAAAAACCAATATTCTGTTCGTTTGGGGGGGGGGCGCAAAGACGTACTTTGCCCTTGTCCTTGGGGGCAGCCTGGCCGACGAGCGAGGCGTGGTAGATGAGACCGTACTTGGGAGTCTCGTGCTTGGTCTTGAGGGCGCGGAAGAGGGCCTTCTCGGCACCGAGGATCTGAACGGTGGAGGCGGGGTACTTGGCCAGGTTGATGAGCGAACCGGCGTGAGCGATGAGGCGAGCGCCGACGAGCTCGCCCACCATCACGGACAGGTTGGGAGCGATGGCCTGCATGCGGTTCTTGAGGTAGTCGTGGAGCTGCGTGCGGTACTCGTAGATGTCGAGCACCTGCGTGCACAGGTCCTGGATGTTGAGGATATCCTCCTCGCTGATCTCAGTACCCATGGAGATCTTGGCCGCCTCCCTGACCTCGGTCTCGGTCTCCTCGGGCAGGATGCCGGCGAAGCTGGTGGCGGCAGCGTGGTCGCGAGTGCCTGCGCGGGTTGACACATGCACATGGCGCACACATGGTGAGCCGAGGCCAAAGGCGGGATAAGAGGTAGACGAAAAGAGGAGCGAGGGGGCGCGACGTACCCATGGCCTTCACGCACTTGGCGAACAGGATGTTGTCGTTCACAACCTTGGCCAGCTCAGGGAAATGCCAACCGTACCACTCCTTCACCCTCATGGCGTAGGTGTTGGACTCCTTGTCCAGATCGTCGAGCAGTGCTGCATAATCAAAATCAGAAAACGCATGTATGAGCCCGAGACTTGCCCCTCTTGTAAACTAATAATAATAATACAACTCGTTGGGAGGGATTGAGGGATTAACGAACCGATGGCCTGGATGATCATGTGATCAACCTTGTCGGGAGAGAACTTGAGCTTGTAGCGGCAGAGGGAGTGAGAAAGACCGAGCACCATGTTGCTGAGCTCGCCCTCGCCGAGACCGGTGATGAGATCGGTCATCTGGAGCCTGATGCCCCTGAGGAGTTCGTTGACCATGCTGTTGTGGAGGCACTGGACGCCGATCTTGTCCTTGATGATGCCGGCAAGCTTGGGATCGGAGACACCCAGCTGCTCGCCCTTGGCCTGCTTCTTCAGGAATTTCTTGAGATCCTTGCCCAGCTTGCTCTCCACGATGGCAGTCGTGGCCGCGAGCGCCTCGGTCGTGTTGCCGAACTTCTGGAAGGCCTTCAGCGACACCCTGAGAGAGCGCGGCGGAGAATAATTGTAATCACAAACAAAAAAATTCAAGATTAGCGATTGGGCCGGAGTCAAGATTGCGGGTCTAGAATGCAAAATTATGAGAGTTTTTCAGTGTAACTATGACATTTAGCTAATCACAACAACAAGTGACACAGAATATGTATTGTTGTTACTCTGGGTAAAAGTTGTCATCAATAAAACTCTCAGCGATCGAGCTCGGAGGTAAGGCGCTCGCGAGTGCCGCTGGAAAAGATCCGCAGTCCATAATTTGCAAGAGCGGGCCTCTTCTAAGCGAGAATGGAACACTCGAATGAACGGCACAATAAAAATCAAGAAGCGAATCGTACACTTTCTGGGCTCCTTCAAGGGTGGCAAAATCCTTGGCAATGTTGGCTTCCTGGAGCTTGCCCTCATTGTGAACCTTGAAGAGGGCGTAGCCGGCGGGCGTTTCGAAAAGAACCAGCATGTTTGTGTGGGGGTGAGGTGGTGTGTCTGTCTCTCCTTCGGGCCTTCCGCACACTGGTCTTTGCCAAAGTTACTCCGCAAGCAAAAAACAAAGCTGGCCCGGAGAGAAAAGTAAGAACGCCGGAGCCTGCCCCGTCCCGCAAGAACCCTGGTTATTACCTGGCAGCTTTTTTTTGTGTTTTTCTTTCTTCATTTATTGAGTTGTCGAGGGGTGGCAAGGTCATGATGTGCACGCGAGAGAGAGGCCCTCCGCTACTACCTCTCCCGAAAGAAGCGGAGCGCTACTTCAGGACTCCATCGTCTGGGCCTGACCTTCCTCATCCACAGAGTCGAGCTGTAGTTTGAAGGGAGGCAGCGGCAGCATAAAAGAAAAGAAAGGAGGGGTTAGGGTAACGCCTTTGTCGAAAGAAAGAGAAAGAGCTGCGCAGGGGCGAGCGAGGTAGGGGCGTGTACGTAGGGCTTCAGCTCAGATCCCTCGATCAGCTTGAAGCTCTGGTTCTCACCCACAATAGCCACCGAAGTATTTTCGGGTGTGAGGCCGATCTCTTCCTGCGAGCCGATGGTTTCGCCGAGAGCAGTCAGACCATGCCTGATCAGCTCGGCAAGCGTGCCTGGGCAGACACAACCACCACCACCACCACCACATCATCATCATCATCAAGATCCGAGGCACACGTTAGAAATATGGTTCACGCAATAACCAAAAAACACACAAGAAAGGGACGCGGCGGGAGCGTACAATCCTCGAACTCAGGGAACTTCTTCTCAAGGTAGGTCCTGGCCGATTGCGCGCGAGCACCGATGGCCTGCGCCTTGTACTCAAAGTAGTTGCCAGACGGGCACGTCTCGTACAGGTGCGCGCCGGTTTGCTGTTGTAGAGGAGAAGCGAGCAGGAGGGTTAAGCATGGGACGTGGTTTAGCGCGCGCTCGCATTCCTGAGACTGGGATAAAATGGGGCCAGGAAGGGTGTGGTACGTCGTAGCCAGCCACAAGGAGACCGACGCCGTAAGGCCTGCTTCCGTATCGCTGGGTGTTCTTCTGTGATTCTTTATATCGCAAGAGAGCAACCAACAAGATGGATTGTAAGAAACAGAGGCACTGTGTAGGGGGGGGGGGATCGTACTATCCGCAACGCGCAGCACAAGGCGGCCGACCTGCACGGGGCTCTCGTACACGTACTTGTGGTTGAGCGCCTCCGTTTGCATGTAGCGGCAGAGAACGCGTGCATCGGATGTGAGGCCTGCAATGGCGATCGCCATGTGATCGTCGATCTTGAAGATCTTCTTCTGGTACGAAGCCAGTTGGCCCGACGATCGCTTCAGCGTCACGAGCACAGCGTGTGTCTTCGATCGCAGCCCGACGCACGCGCTGCCCTGCTTCACAGCCTCCATGGCGAATTCAATTTGGTACAGGCGGCCCTGAGGTGACCACGTCGTGATGTCGCTATCATACTGGCTGCGAAACATGGTGGATTCTTTTTCTCTCTGTGTGGGATCTCTCTCTCGAGGATGAGTTCGCGTGATGATGATGTCTACACACAACGACAAGCCCACGGCACCACAGCGCCAGCAACACCAGACGCGGCACTTCCTCCTCAGCCTGACGTGGATCTTTGGAATGTGGAGAATTCGGGGTCTTGCACGGCTGGGCCGGTCCGCACAGCCTGAGCCTGCGCCACGAGAGAGTGCGCGTGTGTCGAACCAGAAGACAAGAAAGCTGCGTGGCGAGGTCCTAACTCACCACAAACACACAAGATCTGAGCTACGCCCGCTGGGCCTTGTACCGGTGTTTGCCCCCACCCCCTCTTTCCCACTCCGTTTCATGCGCATGCTTGTCCCCGCCTGCACCAGCTGTTGTTGGCACCCTCACCTCCGCGGGCGCGCACTAAGTCTCAGCTCCTATAACCCATGCACGCTCACACCTCAGCAGCTGAGACCAAACCGCTGCTGCAAGAAAAGATGGACAGTTCGCGAGATTTCTACACCTCCACCCCTGGGGGAAGCAGGGATGACGAAGAGTTTGGCACCAGTGGCGATGATTCCTTCTTCACGCCTCTTCCGTGGTATGCTCTTCTGCCCGTCAACATGTTCTTCGCTTTCGTTTTCCCCTTTTTCTTTTATTTATTTATCTACCTATTTTCACTTTGTTGGCCCTCGCCCACAAGGTGGAAGAAATACAAGAGGGCTCTCATCATCGGTGTGAGCGTTCTCGGGGTGGTGCTTGTGGGTCTCATCATCACCGCTGCGGTCGTATCTTCGAGGCACGACTCCTCCAAGCACACTGCCACTGGCCCCAAGAATGTGGTACGCGTCCAACCGGAGGCTGCGCTTCTGCGTAGTTGCTCCCGTGCATTTTAAATCTGCAATTTCTTGCTCTACTTGTCCTCAGGAGTATGTGTGGTGGTCTGACGCGCCTGCGCTACCCTTCAGATCGTCATGATCACGGATGGTTTCGGTCCAGCATCTGTCACGCTGGCCCGGACGCTCAATGGCGCACCACTGCAGCTGGACCGCATGATCCGCGGCACTATTCGGACCAAATCGGCCAACAGCCTTGTGACCGACAGCGCTGCTGGGGCGACGTCCTACAGCTGCGGGCTGAAGACCAACAACACGTGCGCCGCCTTGCTCTTTCATGCCTGTGTGTGTGTGTGTGTGTGTGTGTTCACCCCACTCTTGCGCGCAGCTTTGTGGCCGTTGATCCGAGAGGTCGTGCTTGTGGTACTATCTTGGAAGCTGCACAGAAGAAGGTACACCCCCGTTCGTGGTCCACAGAGTTGCTGCCTTCCTATAAGAGAGTCCTGCCTCTTAAATCGCTGGGCCTGCGGCAAACCACAGGGAATGCGGACGGGTCTAGTCGTGACGAGTCGCATCACGGATGCCACTCCCGCCTCCTTTTCATCGCATTCTGTGACTCGGTGAGACGTGACGACCCCAATTCCCGTGTCTCGTTTCCACTCATCGTTGGTCTGTGGTCTGTGGTGGTGTGTCTCAGCTATGCGCAGGAGTTCATCGCCTCGCAGCAGGTAACCAAAGGCATCGACATTATGTTTGGCGGAGGTCGCGACTACTACTTGCCAAAGAGCGAGGGCGGCTTGCGAGAGGATGGGAAGAATCTTCTCGAGGAAGCCTCCAAGGCGGGCGTCTCTGTGGCCACGACGCTCAATCAGTTCAACGCAATTTCCAAGATGCCCACTCTCGGCCTCTTTGGCATGAGCCACGTATGTTTCCCCTGTACCTCCCTCCCCTTCTCGCCTCCCCTGACCACCCTTCCACCTTTCAGCTGGACTACACCATCGACAGAAATCTCGAACAGCCCACTCTGGCTCAAATGGTCGCCAAGGCTCTCAGCTTGCTCGAAAAAGACTCCCCAAAGGGATTTTTCCTCATGGTCGAAGGTTCCAGGATCGACCACGCAGGGCATGACAACGGTACCCCCCCCCTTCTCGTTTCCGCACTCGTTGGCCAAGAGAACGAATCTGGTTGCGCCCTTTCTCACCCAGTGCAACCACCATCCATTTAGATGCTGCCACCCACTATCGCGAGGTGCTGGCGTACGACGACGCTCTTAAGGTATACGTGTGTGCACTACACCCACATTGGCGCGCATACTCACGCCTTGTGGGAATCTGCTGTTGGCTCGCTCTGTAGGAAATTATCACGTTTGCCGAGAAGGACGGCGACACCCTGGTGGTGAGCGTATCGGACCACGAAACCGGCGGACTCACGCTGGGCGTCACTCCTCGCAGTGGGTCCTACCCTGTCTATGACTGGTACTGGAGCCCTTTCCCTCGGTATCTGGAGTACACCAGTTTTCGGCTCACAAATGATTGGGTTCAAAATAAGGTATCCCGATGTATTGCGCCCCGTGCAGGCGTCAGCCTACAAGATGGCGGCAGCAATCCACGCCGCAGCACCCAATGCCTCCGAGGAACAACTGCTCGAAGCGGCGAAGACTGTTTTGCGTGAAAAGGCCGGTTCGTATCCCCTCCTTCCCCTTCCCTTTACCCCCCCCCCTCTTCTGTCCCTCATTGCCAAGTAATCGCTCTATGCACCCATGACACTGTGACAGGACTCGAGCTCAACCAAGAAGATCTGGCCTTGCTTGCTCCTGCCCTCAGCTCCAAGCCCACGGGCATTCCCCTGTTGAACGTGATAGGCAACATTATCGCCTACCGAGCCGGCATCGCATGGACCACTCTTGGGCACACCGGTAAGGCCGCTCCCATTTTTTTGTATCTGGCGCACCGCCGCACGCAATCGCATCTACGCCTAGGATGGCCCCGCTTTATAACCTCGCTTTGATGTAGGGGTGGACATCAACCTCTACTCCTACACAAAAGCCCCCAACGTTGACCTCCCAGGAGTCAAGATAACGGAAAAGGTATGACTAGCGGGGCTCACCGTCCTCCTCGTCCTCTAAACCACATCTTGGTGTCCATCCAGTTCGGCAATGGAGGCAACTTGGAAAACTTCGATGTGGGCCAGTATCTCATTGATGTGGGCCACTTTGACGTCGAAGCCGTCTCTCGGGCGCTCCAGTACGGAACCCCTTTTCTTACGAGCAACAACACTCCTTGCTCTCTCTCACACTTATAAACCCCTTCGCACCACACATTCCACAGGAGCTTCAACCCCAACCCACTAGCACAAGAGAAGACGAAGAGACAAATGCGGAAGGCCAACGTAGACGTCGTTGTCGACCCGTACCACCCCGAGCTGTGAACGCCATTGCGCTGGCAGCCAGCACAGCGCTTATTTTTATTTATTTTTTGATGGCAAGGGAAATTAAAAGGGATTTTTTTTTCCCTTCAAATCCAACGAGAGCAAACACCACCACACAATGGAAAGCACACCAACCGACACAACGGGCCTGGAGAGCTGGGCCGTCCTTCTTCCGTTCGTGTGTACCACAGCGACAATCGCACTCTTCTTCAGCCCCTGGTGCGCCCCCTCTCTTTTTCCCCCCCAATCATCCACAACAACTTTCCTCGTGATTACGTGTGCGAGATCTCGTTCCTCATTGTTTCAACCATATATTTGTTTTGCGATCACGGAGCAGGCCAACGGTGGCAGAGATGAAGGTGAAGCAAAGTGTCGAGGGGCGCCCATACGCGCCGTTTTTGTCCATGTGCGGGAACTGCTTTCTGTGGGCAACCTACGGCCTCCTGTTTCGTGACCCGACCATCATCATGACCAACACCGTTGGGCTTGTCCTTTCCCTCTACTATGTCTTCACTTACTTCTCCGTCGCCAAGCTGTCTGAACGGGTACCACCCCTCTCGGGCGCTTCCGCCCTTTCGATATTATTACTCTGAGCTGCTGACCACTGGCCCGTTGGTTGGTTGGTGGTGGGCGGCGTGTGGTGCATCGCCTGATTGCAAATGGTGGCAATGCAGGAACCGTTGGCACAGCATGCAACGTGGGGCGGAGCCGGTGTGGTTGGTGTCGTGGTCTTCATCCTTACCTTTTCAAGTAACCCCAAGCTGCATATGGGCCTGGCTGGTGCCCTGGCTTCCACGGTCATGTTTGGAGCTCCACTCATGCAAATTGTGCGCTTCCTTCACTCTCGTACATGCACACATGGATTGGGGAGGCCTGTGCGCACCCCGAGAGTTTGGACAGATGCCGCGAATCGTGATTCATTCACTCATCCCTTCCTTCTGCTGGACTGTGCAACAGTGGACGGTGGTGAGGACAAGAAGCACGCGCACCATGTCTTTCCCGCTTTCAATCATGAGCTGTCTGGTGACCCTTTCTTGGACCGCCTACGGTCTACACGTGGCCGACAACTTTATCTTCTACCCGAACGCCGTCGGGTAAGCCTCCTCTCCCTCCCACTTGGTTGCCCTGTGACACTTTTTCTTGCTCTCGCCGCCTCTCATCACGTTTCCTGTCGCCCACCACCACCACCACCACCACCACCACCACCACCACCACCACCACCCACCACCCACCACCACCACCACAGGTTCATTCTAGCGTGCGGGCAGGTTTCCGTTTTTGCTTTGTACCCTTCGTCGGCTCCGATCATTGTTGACCTGAGCCTGTGAGAGTGGTGAAAAAGGAGAAAAAATAAAAAGAAAAGGCCTTTGGTTTATTGGCAATAAGACTGGCGGGACGATGGGAAATCAGCTGGAGCGGGAGCACGACGTGGGACCCGTAGTGGCCACTGGTGGACCCGACGGCATTTGGTAGTCGCCCTCTTGCTCCTCCCCTTCCTCAATCTGCTGACTGGATTGCCCGGTCGCGCTACCTTCCTCTATTTACAGGAAGATCTACACGGCCAAGAAGAAGGACACAGGCGAACCAGTGTCCATTTGGGTGCTTGTCCCCCCCCCGCCGTTGCTTGCGGTGTGTGGCCAGCTTACACCTGAGTTCGGGGTTATATGTGCATTGTGGGGGGGGGGCACGCGGCAGGTCTTCGAAAAGAAGCAACTGGAAAAGCACTCACGCGACGTGCAAGAGGCAGTCCTCGCGATGCTGCGAGCGGATGTGCGTGGCCACCTCCCTTGCTGCGTGCTGCATCACAACTGCTGCGTGCCGTAACACAGTGGCGGGCTGTTTCGGTCCGGCGGGCAGGTGACGAATCTGAGCCGGCTGGTGCATCCCAACGGTACGAATGCACTCACATTTGGGAGGGTGCTGGTCGACACCAATGACCACAGCGAACTGAGAGCTTGTACCGACGTACTGATCTTCTCTCTCTCTCTCTCTCTCGTGTGTGTGTGTGTGTGTCACACTCCCACTACATAGTGGTGCGGGTCTTGCAGCCTTTGATGGAAACGAGGACGCTGCTTGTCGCGCAGACTGAACCCATATTTGCATCGTTGGCCAATGGTATGGCCGGCTCACTCACAATTGCGAATCGCTAACTCACACGATGGCTGTTCTGTGTTCCACTCAAGTGCTGAGAGACTTCTCTGGCTTGCCAAAGGTGCCCTCGGCTCTGGAGAACTTTGAGTTAGATCCCTTGGAGGTACGCACGTAACTGGATCCCGATTACGTTGTACGAGGCTCCTACCACTTCTCTTCTTCTTCTTCCCCTCTAAATTAGGCGAAGCTGGGGCTGCTCGAGCTGGCCGAGGGACTTGCATTCCTCCATGGGCATGCTCGCATTGTGCACCGCAACGTGTGCCCGGAAAGCATATTTCTCACCCAGAAGGTAACTCACCCCTGCACTACTACGGTCAATGACCCATCTCCGATACACAGTGAAGTGTAGGACCGATCGACAACAACATCAACCAACAACCAACTACAAAAAATCAAACAGGGGATGTGGAAACTGGGTGGCTTCCATTTTGGTCTCTTCCTATCATCGCGCCAAGCGAGAGAGACCATGCGGCTGGACTACCGAGAGTTTGACTACAAGCCACCCTTCCGTGTGTCACCCAACCTCGATTACATGGGTACTCATGCTCCAGCTTCCTTCGCGTCCTCCAACCTGTTGGGCCTAATAACTAAACACACCACAACCACATACGACTCACACACGCCCATACAATCGCGCCACTGAACAGCCCCAGAGGCAGCCGATGGGCAATGGGAGCCATCGAGCGACATGTGGAGTCTGGGAATGGTGGCCTGGCAGCTTCACACGCGCAAGCCGCCTCCCTCCACGCGAAACAATCTCCTCACGCACCGGGTGCGTGACGAATTCCCACTCCCGGTCATCGGAGAGCGAAGGAGCTCAAATGGGTTTTTGTGTGACGCCATGTACCCTTCAGGCCGTCGTGGAGCGCATACGTAGCATGGATTGGACGCAATTCCCCGACGCGCTACAAGGTGTGACTTCCCTTCACCATCCAAAGTCGATTGCGTGTACAGCGACCAGAAAACAACTTACCACTTGTTTTCGAACAGCGCCGCTAGCGAGGATGCTCTCAGAACAACCGCACAACAGGCCCGGTAAAGATCCTCTGCTGAATGTAGCCGCTGATTATGTGCGCAGTGACCAGTTCGCTCATCGCATCTCTCGTACCAGACGTGCGTACTTTTCTCGAGAGCCCCTACTTCAAGGACACTCTGCTCCTTGCACTCGTTTTCCTCAACGATCTCATCACCAAGGTGCGCGGCCTCGATGGGTGGGTATAGATTGAAGAGAAACCTGAAAGGTCTACCCCATTGGTGAAGGAGTGTCCGAGTGTGCTCAATAATATTCAACACAATCACAGGACAATCCGAGTAAGCTCAAGTTCTTCAAGGGCCTGGCTTCCGTGCTGCCGCGCTTTCCTCCGCGCCTCATCAAGGAAAAAGTCGTCGCTGCGCTCCTGGCCGAGCTGGTACGAACGCGACTCTCCGCAGCATATGCCCCTTTGTTTTTGGTTCGCTCACCACCACCACTACTCCCAGGGGCGAAGCGAAGGAGAGCTGCAGGCCCTCGTATTGCAAAGCGTTCTGGCCTCCTCCCGCGGCACTCTCACCGCTTCTGAGTTTTCCCGACTGGTGCTGCCGTCCCTCCTGCCGCTTATCACACCGGAGGCTCCAATGCCCTGTACCGCTTCCTCCTGCCCCCACCCGCTCGGCCAATGGCAGGAGCTCATTGCCCCCCCCCTCTCCCCAATTTAGGTCTGCTTCTGCTGCTGGGTGAGCTGGAGACGCTCGCCAAGCTTGCTCCTCCGGATGATGTCAGCCAATGTACGATTCATTTCTTGGCGCCATTGTGCTTGTCTCTGTGTGATACCAACTGAAGCCCTTACTTGGCAACAACGACGACGGACAGACCTGGTTCCACTTGTGGTGCGAGCCCTAGAGTCGCCCAACCCCAAGCTCAACGAAGAAGCCTTGAAGCAACTGCCCAAGGTGCCGTGTATTGATCTTTTCTTCGCCCCTCCGGCTGCTTGGCTGGACCGATCCACGTTGTTTGACGGTCAGAAGTACTTCTGTGCTTACAACCCCCAACGATAGGCGGTACGCGTGTTTGAGGTAGCCGCGGTGCGGGACGTTGTGGTACCGCGGCTCGAGTTGCTCATGGCCAACACCCGTCTCGAGCCGATTCGTGCTCGTATCCTCATCACCCTCAAAGGTAGCCCTAATGCATTCCCCCCCTGCTTTGCTGCGACGGGTTTGAAAATGAAGGTGCCTGCTGCATTGGGCTGGGCAGATGTGGTCGAAATTGTGGATAAGAGCACAGTCTCGGATCGTGTTCTCGCCATCGTGGATACCTGTCTCGCTATCGACCGCTCTGCACCCACGCTCGTACGAACACCACTCTCACAACGTCTTCCTCCGCATGTGGCTGTCTCGCTACAGTGCTTGTACAGTAAGCTTACTCGTCTTGATTGCCGTTGTGTGCGTGTGTGTGTGCTTGGCAGATGCGCTGCATAGTGGTCTATGACTTGATCTCGGACAAGGTGGGCATGGAGATCACGGCAGCGAGGATTCTACCGTTTGTCGTCCCCCTGCTGCTGGAGCCTCAGCTCGGCGCCCAACAGGTGATCCCCTTGTTCCCTCGCCGCCGTGCCGGGTAGGTGGGAGTTGCACTTTTCTCACGCCAGCCACGCGTTTCCAAACGTGACAGATCGGATTCGTTATGGAGCGTATCAAGAGCATGCTCGAGCGTGTTGGCGAAGCGAGGCTCAAGCGTCTGGCTGCGGCGACCGAGCCAAAGGCAGAGACAACGGCCCTCACCACCGAAGCCGAGTTCGAGGCCGTGGTGGCTTCTGAAGGCGTCAAGAAAGCTGCTGACCGCACCCGCTCTCATGGCACCCCGCCCGCTTCCATTTCTTCGTACCCGACGTCTTCCATCACCACCCCGAGCGCAGGTTTTTCCCCCTTTCCCTTTGCTTTGGTGTTGGTTTGCCCCGACACGTTGTTGGCCCACAATGTGATGGCTGACCCTACTGCCTTACGGTGGCTCAGCATATAACGAGGGCTCTCTGATGCACTCTGCACACTCGAGCTCGGCTCCTTTCCAATCCATCACGATGCCCGCTTCCTCCTACAACTTCCCTTCCCACCCCACTTCGTCCAATGGCATGCAGCGGTTGTTGCCGACGGCCGCACCTTCCGCCGCTCGGGCAGCGCTAGCCGACGCTCCTTCACTCCTCCCTGCGACACGTCCATTCCCTGGACAGCAATCGCCTGCCGGCTTGGACTCGCACCACAACCTCCTCTCGGCACCACAGGCCAGTCTTCTTCAACACTCACCGCTCCTCACACCCCCCGCCGCCCAGCTCCCCACAACTGCCTCCCATCCACAGCTTCCTTCCGCGACCTCACCGGCAACGGCCTTCTCCTTCCCTGCTCCTCCGCGCGCTGGCCCGGTCTCTGCCTCCGTGCCACAGCCGGCCTCTCCTTCCCCACTGTTTGGACTCGCTCCTCTGCCAGCGCACCAACCTGCCCCGCAGGTGCCGATCTCCCCTCCCTCACCGCAGCTTCCTGCTCACTCGTCCTCCTATCTTTTGTTCCAGGGGAGTGGTATGCTCAAACCCTTGCACATGAACCTGCAGCCGCCAAAGCCGCATGGTGGACAGCCCGGCTTCTCGCCACCACCGAGTGGTGCCCGTCCGCCCGTGGACAACTCCACCTCTCTCTTGTAAACGACGTCGTTCTTTTTGCCTTTTTGTTGCCTTTCCTTTTCCCCCAATAGGAGAGAAACAGTTAATATTTATTCGCCATCTCAGCCTGCGGCGCAGCTTGAGTTTGTGTGCCTCAACAAATCAAACAGAGAGATGGAACAGGAACAGCTGAAGGTGGAGGATGGGTGGGTTCCGTGCCGTACTCTGCAGCTGATCGACGCCCCGGCTGACGCCCTGGCCACCCCGGCCCCCAACCACAAGCTGGCCTACCGCGACTGGAAGCCGTCCAAGGTCGGCGCAGAGCCCGCTCCCGTCGTCTTCGCCGTTCACGGCCTCACCAGGAACTCCAGGTGAGCGAGGGCTTCACATACACATTATTTTTTCTCACTCCCCTTACCCCCCCCCCTCCGGCGCGCTGAACTCTCCATCTGACACAAGGCGCGCGCAGGGACTTTGACACGGTTGCTGAAGCCCTGGTGAAGGACGGGTATCGGGTCATTGCGGTGGACATGCCCGGCCGTTGGAACAGCGGTCAGCCCTCCCTCCACAGCCCGCACGGTGGCTAAGTGTGCACCTTCTCCGTCGGAGCTCATCGCTTTTGTTTTGCGTGGGTGTGCAGAGCGCGTGCCGGCGGCCAACTATTCGTATCCGCAGTACATTCACGACATCCGCACACTCGCGCACCATCTGGGCCTCACGAAGATCGACTGGCTCGGCACCTCCATGGGTGCGCGTCTTCTTTTCTTCCCAAGCCTCGAGGGATCCTCGCCTTTTCCTTACGCCATTCATGCGCGTGTTGGGCAACAGGCGGTATGATCGGCATGCTTCTCGCGGCTCAGCACGACTCCCAAGGTACGTACTTCACCAGTCCCCTTAGCTGTCGCTGGCCTGGGGGGGGGTACCACGCGCTGATGCGCGCGCGTTGGTGTTGCCCGGGCAGACGTGCACCCGGTGGAGATTGGTAGGTTCATCATGAACGACATCGGGCCGTTCGTGCCGGCCACCGGCCTGCACAGGCTGGGCAAATACGTCGGCAAGGAGTCCAAGTTCAGGTCTAGGGGCAGCCCCAACTCCACTCCCCCTCACGCTCTCTCATCCCGTACTGTCTTCATCCGCTGCCACGTCTCATGCCATACGCGTCGGTCGGCGGTGTCGGGTGCAGATCGATGGACGACGTCCGCGCCTACGTGAAGAGGATCGCGCAGCAATTCGGGTGCCACACAGAGGAAGAGTGGGAGAAGATCACCAAGTACTACGTGCGGCCCGTGATGGGTGGTGCGGAATCTCTCCATGGAGGCGGTTTTCCCAATGCGTTGTTGGCCGCACAGACTCACTGGGAATCGGTAGGGGGCGAGTACGAGTACGAGCTGCACTACGATCCGGCCATCGCGTCGTCCATCCCCTCCGACCCGGCCCAGTTCACGGACATCGACCTGTGGAAGTTCTGGGAACACGTCAAGTGCGACTCCCTTCTTCTCCTGCGCGGGTACGTCCACGGCATCTCCCCCATCCACCCACGATCCGCTCACTCATGCCTCTGGGCGACGGAACAGAGCTGATTCGGACATCCTCCCGAAAGCGGTGGCGGAGGAGATGGTGAAGAGGGCGAGGTTCCCCGTGCGCATCCATGAGTTTGCCGGCGTGGGCCACGCGCCCGCCCTCGTCACGGACGACCAGATTCAGGTGGTCCGCCACTTCTTCCTCGAGGGTCCCGCTGCCGAGTGAACCGATCCTCTCCCCTCTCTGGGAGGCAATCAGTTTTCTGGAGTAGACGCAGCGGGGTTTATGCTCTGCTTCGCAGGTGGAAAAATAAATACTTTACAGGAGCGCAAACGATGAGTTATACATGGCATGCACACGTGTGGGCCTTAGGGTAGGCAGCCGGGCTGCACGCAGGTTGCCCGATCGCGGGCCTACGAGTTGAGAGGGCTGTTGTTGCTCCAGGGGCTGTTGTAGAGCGGCGATTCGTTGACGCCATCAAGGAGGGCCGGCTCGAGCTTGTACCCGTAGATGCCGGCGATCTTGCCGGCGCGAATCAGGTAGATCAGCAGGGCACCGGCGGCAATGAAGAGGCCGGCCAAGAGAGAACCGCCCACGACCGAGCCGATGACGATACCGGCGATGTCGCCGTCGCTGAGGCCGCCGCCGCCAGGGATGATGCAACCGCAGTTGTTGGCTTCCACATCGACCGTATAGCCCTCGCCGAAGGCCTCGCGACACTTGTCGTCCGTCACCGCGCACGCACACACGCACGAGTTGCCGGCGGGCGCGTAGAACTGGCCCTTTGTTCGCGCGCAATAGAGCGCCGAGTCGCGCGGGCAGCCACACAGGCACTCTTCCGCCTCACCGACGACCTCAAACGTTGAGTTAATCCTGCGCATGATGAGTCAACAGGTGACAGGTGTGTTAGTGGGTCGTGTGTGTGTGCTCTCCAGATGGTGGAGAGTAATACAGGAAAAGAGAGAGAGACAACAAGGCTTCCAACAGGCGACGTACGTTGAACAGTAAGCGTCAGTGAGGTTGCATCCGCAGCTGCACGAGTCTGCGCTCCACATCTCGCCAGCCGTGCAGTCTGGATGGAACACGAGTGTGTCCTGCCTTCAGCACACGGTAGGCGGGGTATGCTGCCAGAAGGGTGGGGTGGGCGCGTACTGGCGGTGGTGGCGTTGAGACCGCAAATGCAGTCACAGGCGGACTCGTCCAGTGTCCAGTTGGGGCCGAGGGTGGCCTGGCAGAGATCACTATCCAAGAGACATCCGCACGTGCAGTTCTCCTTGAAGAATTGCTCATTGGGTCCGCACTCCTGCGCAAGCACCAAGTTCACACAAGAATGAGGATGAATATGAGGGAAACCCCCGCCTAGCACCGTGGCAACGCGTACAGTGGAATCACAGACGGTGATGAGCCGCGCATACACATCAGCTCGGCTGGCGTTCTGCTCACGTGTGCTGAAGTAGCGAACGGGCTGCAGGCTATCGCCTGAGACACGGCGAGGGTTAAACATATGCGTCAGAATATGGGTCGCGATGATTGTGTTGTGGCTAAATCAAAATTTCAGATATCGGGATAACACCTTGGCTGAAGCCAGCGATCTCGAGCGTATAGCGAACATTCTCGAAAACGAAGCTGGCCTGCAACCCGATGTCCGTGTTGAAAGTGAACCGATCATCACAAGTTTTATCATCTGCACGCGCGGAGCCCACCACAAATACCTTAGCTCCTCCGCAACAAATAGCTCCAGGCGCGGCTGAACATGAAAATCGTCGTACGGTACTGAAAGCTCGGATCACAGTCGCTCCGACTGCCGGTGTTGGTAGTCTCGAAGAACCCTGATGGTGCCACATATACACGGGTGGGTGATGTGTGAGATCACCTTGAAGTTGCTGCTGGCTCATGCTGTTGGTGGTGGTGGTTAGGGTTGTTTTATATTTTTGGGGGCGGACGGTACCAAGAGGGTAGGAGATTAGGAATGGCTGGGTAAGCTGGGGAGACGTGACGTTCATTGTCAACCGTAGTTTGTAGGGAGTAATGGTACCACCTTGGATGACGTTGTTATAATGAGTGAACTCACCTGTGGGTGGGGAGCCGTTAGACAACACCTCCTAATTCGCTTCGATTCCTTTGTTTTAAAACAAAAAAGCCCAGAAATTAGAGGAGGTGTGGGTACCAATCTTAGTGGGGGTGTCGTCTGTTGGGTTGGAGATGAGGGTGACGCCCCTCAAGCCGCGGAAGCCGGCACCGCTAGCGTTAAAGCAAAGCGGTGTGGGGTTTTCGCCCAAGTTTACTGAGCCCCACCTGTTGCGGAGGCGGGGAGGGAAGGCTGAGTGTCATCGGATGTGGAGTGGGGGAGGCAACACGCGGCCAGTACCTCATTTGGCAATCGTCGCTTGGAATGTTGTCACCAATGGGGTAGGTGCATTCAGTTCTAGCTCCCTCGCGGTAGTCCATGCTGTTTTTGGAGTCGCAGTACTCGCAAGGGGTCGGGGCGTTGGGACTGCGCGCACCGCGGGTCAGCAAACGGGTTTTGGCCCCAACACCCAAAGAGTTTCAAGGTATGGGGGTGACAGCTGGAAGAAAAATGGGCACGTACTTGAAGGAGGCAGTGACGTCGATGGTAAACTCGAGCTGGGGCAAGGCTGTGTGGTTGGTTGTTGGGAGTGTGTGTGTGTGTTAGATCCGAGGGCAGCAGGCCAAACCAACAAAACAAAGAAACCAAACCTTGCGCACAGCTCAATAGCACGACCGCCACCAGGAGGGAGAGGGAGGCGTGGTGCGCGTTCATGGTGGTGTGTGGTGCGTCTGTACGGAAGCGATGCGGTGGAGAAAGACGATTCTTGCGCTGTACTTCCGCACGAGAAGAACGTTTAGGTTGTTGTACTGATGGCGGGTGTCAAATCAACTGGGGGCTGTCATTGGAGATCGTTGTTGTTGGCCCCTACAACACCCCCGGAGTTTTTTGGAGCTTTGCGGCCGATAGGTCACCTCGAAGACTGACCGCCAGGAGCTTGGACGCCTCGGCTCCGCTGGCCAATCAGCCACGTTGTACAAGTTAGCTGAAGTTGTGTCACCAATCGGATTGTCCCATTTTCTCACGGCGAACCCACCGCTGAACCCCCAAGCTTCGTGTCTGGGCCTACGTACCTGGTGGTGGGCCACGCGCTGTCTCAACAGACCGGACATCCCTTCATTTTTTTGTTCTTTTGCTGCCCCGACACAACACCACCACTTCTCCAACAACAACAACCACCACCACCACATGTCTTCTTCCTGTTCGCTTCTGTCTGTCATGGGTGGTTGGCTGGTTCTGGTCCTACTGGTCATAGACTTGGGCTGTACATCTCATCGCTACGGGGCTGCGGTGGCGCTCACTGTGAAGCAACTTCCCCATCTCCAGACATTTGATAGCTGGGACACGTGCGTCTACGATGGTATACCTCAACTATATATATACTACTCACTGCGCCCATGCGACCTCTCCCTTGTGTGCCGGACCTGTCACTAACCGTGTGCCTACGCGCGCGTGTCAATGCGTCACATAATATGTTGCAGGGGGCTGCTATGAGCAGGACTGTTCGAGCGCAATGATGGGTGGGTGGGTTACTCCTGCCCTTGCCGACATCTTGTTTGTCGATCAGACCTTTGGGTGGTGGGTTAACTCCGGCCTTACGCCCTCCAACAAGTACCGCCTCCCCCGCGCCTTTCTCTTCCTCCTGCCTCCCCATTAGCTTTGCTCTCTCTTCTGTTCCCCCCCCCCGCCAAACCTTTTACCGGTTTCTTTTTTGAGCCGGTGGCTAAACGGGTTTGCACCAGGAATCCAGACACAAGGCAAATGCTGACGTGTGACCAAGCGATGACGGGTCCCTGTGCTGACCACACTACAAACTCCGACGTACGTTGGTCACCAACCTCATTAGTAAATTAATTAGTAAAGCTATCTAGCTGGTGAGTTTCGCCTCACCCCCACGAGGCATCATTTTGTATCGGCAGGGCAAATACCTGTACGCCGAGGCTTCAGGCTGCGGTGACCGGCCACTCATGGCAACAAGTCCGTTCATCGTCTTTACTGCCAGCGGTACGTGTGTTGCACGCGATATCCTCCTCGGTTCTCATATCAATCGTGCACATGAGCTGAGAGCCTCATGCTGCCCCTTTCTCTTGTGCGTGTGTGCGTGTGTGCGGTGTTGCGTGTGTGTATGTGCGCAGACGCCACGTTGACTTTCTGGTATTACTACTACGGATCGGACATCAAAACGTCCACTCAGTTCCAGGTCACCATGAGCGCAACCACTGACGATGGCACCACCCAGAACGAGACGATCTGGACAAATTCAGGTACGCGCGCGCGTTTGTCCCCCACACACCTCAACTTCTGACTTCTAACTGTCGCACCCCTCTCTTCATGATCTCCTCCTTGTTGGCACAGGCGAATCGGCGGCGGAGTGGAAGTCGGCTACGATCTCGTTGTCGAGCTTCTTTCCCTCTGAGGCCACTGCGGCCAATCCGGTCACCACCGTCTTCTCGTTCGAGTACGCTCTCTCTCGCTCGTCAAGGGGTCCCCCTCACTCCTCAAACACTTTGAAACCCAACAGTGTGATTGCACATGCATGTTCTAATCGTCGTGAGGACATATATGTTGTCTTGGGTGCATATTGGTGTGTCCAACGTTGGGGTGTGCGTGCAGAGTAACGCCCAGCAACGACCGCAACAACTTCCGTGCGGACATCGCCATCGATGATGTCTTGTTCACTCAGAGCGGTGTCCCTACGGTCAGCCCTACGCCCTACGTCGACCCCAGCCCCTCGCCTTCCCCGTCTCCTGCCACTGGCCGTGCCGGTACATCCACCACACCCTGCAACCCTGTCTGCGTCACCAACCCTGCCAGGTCGAAAAAGCGCATGACCAAACACTCACACGACATTCATCCTCTGGTTTATGGTGGCTGAGCAGCTCCTGTGTCCACCGGCAGCGGAGGACTGAGCGATGGCGAGATCGGAGGCATCGTTGGCGGTGTTGTTGGCGGGCTCATCTTGCTCACCCTTCTGTTGGGCGTGTTGCTGGTGGTCATCCTCCTCATCATCAGCCCCAAGGCCCCGGCCGCACCCGCCCCCGCGCCCAACACCGTTCTCTAAACTCTAACACAACAGAGAAGTGCAGGGATGGCATAGATGTATGGCACATTGTAACTATATTTATTCAACATTACACGCCATGGAGCAATTCCTCGTCGTCGTCGGCGAGCAGGGGTAGGCGGCGGCAGCGGTCGGCGGTGCGGAGGTAGGCGAGGAAGTAGCGGGTCGGCACCTTGGAGGGCTGCTGGCGCACAAACTCGTGCTGTCCGTCGGTTCTTGCGCTCGGTGGTTGCGATCGAGCGCACGTGGAACCGCACGGCGTGGGTCGGCTCGTCGCCATCCGGCCCGAGCATGGCGACGTAGAAGTAGACCGATCGGCCGTCGTCAAAGCCATAGCAATTAGACGCTTAAATTTAAACCTAATACAAAGCTTCACGCGGGCATGCCCGCGGTCGTCCTGCACCAGATCCATGCACCACCGAGCGGTTTTTGGTTCGCTCGGCGGAGGGGTGTAAGCCCCAAAGTCCAGAGGATCGGCCGTCCACCGCCTTTGCCTCGGACGCTTATTGCTGCTGCTGCTGCTGCTGCTCCTTGTCGTCATCGTCGTTGCCGCGGCTGCTGCCGTTGCACCATTCCGTGAGGAACTTGAGCCAGATGTTGCGCGCGCCGTTCCAGTCCCGGTCCGTGCGGAAACCGCACTGCTCGCACCAGAAGAGCTTGCTCTTGCCCAGGCCGTGGTTGATCCGCCCACACCCGCCACATGTCTTGGACGTGTAGGACTCGTCGACCAGCACCACGCGGCATCCCGACGGGTACTCGCGGATCTTGTGGAGCAGGTGCTGCTTGAACCGAAAGTGCGACCAGGTGAGCATCGCGCGCACGGTCTTGGAGTGCAGCCCGCGCCGCTTGCTCTTCCCGACGACCATGTTGCTGGTCTCGTAGTGCGGGTAGATGATGGTCTCAAAAGTCTCGCACAGCCACTTGGCCGCCCGCCGATGGAGGTCGTCGACCAGGTCGCGTATGCGCCGGCGCATACGCGCAGCGGCCCGACGCATCCGGCGGCGCCGCTTCTTTCTAACGTCGCGGTCGGTCGTGCGGCTGACGAGATCGTCGAGGTGGTGGCACAGTCGCCTGATGCGCCCAAAGTCGTTGGCACCCAGCTCGTAGATGCGCGCCTCGTCGGGGCTATAGACCGTGAAGGGCGTCCGCACGCCCGGATCGATCGCGGCAGCAGCGTGTGGCGCGACGGTGGGGGCTTGGTTATCACCCCCTCCCACCGCGTTGGGCTGCTGTTGCTGTATTGGATGCTTCACGTCCAGTGGCACCGGTATGGAGATGTAGTACCGCCCGAGCTTGGTGCGCGTGACCCGGAACTCGTGGTCCATCTTGGCCGGGAGCGACTCGCTCGAGCAAAGCACGGTGTTGCCAAAGATTGGCGTGTACTCACCTCAGGTCCAGTTCCAGTCCCTTGAGTGAATGACCACTGTCTCCTGCTGCAGGCGCTTGGCCGACCGAAAGGCGATGTTGAACTTGCCCCGCCCATGTGCCTGGACCGCGTTCTTGTAGGCCGTAACAAACTGGCCCATGGCCTGGTCGCGGAGGTTGTGGGGTGTCTTGAACACCCATGAGATACCAACGTCGTCGTCGTCGCCGCCGCCGCCGACCCTGCTCTTGGTGCGTTTGATCCGTTCCGCCTCTCGCAGGCCAAACTCGGTCATGAAGTGAGCGCGCAGTGCCTTCTTGGTCGGCGCGCACTGCCGTCTGCGCACGGCGGCGACGCACTGGTTGTAGGTCCAGTGCACGGTGCCGATCCAGTGCTTGAGGAGCGTCTTCTGTTGGGCCGTTGGAAAGACGCATATCTTCCGCGTCTTACTGTTGAAAGCCACCATCCCACCCTCCCCATCACCACCCCCCTCAGTGCTGGGCGGTCCCTTCCGCTTCTGCTTCCCTCCGCTGCTGCCGCCTCCTACTTGTCCTTTGCCTTTTTCGCCTCCCGCCACCGTCGTCGCTGCTGCTGCTGCTGCTGCTGCCGTCTGTCTCATCTTGTTCACTTTCCTCGCTGCCGCCTTGTTCCTTGCTTTCTTCCTCAGAAGGCTCGCTTGTCGTGCTTCCTCAGCCTTCCTCCAGGGCTGCTCAATCGCAGCGTGCTCTTCAATGCGCCGCAGAGCGGAGGCCATTTTGTCGCGCCACAAAGAAGGTGGTGACGGCGATGAGGTCATCGGCCAGCTCACACTGTGGATCAAGGGCGTTGAGAGTGGTGGCCACAGCTGGATCGCCCTGGCCAACCACCACGAGCCGGACGTCGTGGCGCTTAAACACATGCTCCAGCAGCTCCATGGCAAAGCGAGCGAGTCGGTCTCAGTGCAGCACGGCGACCTCATCGACCAGGCCCACGAAGCATCAGTCCAGAATGGCGCAGAGACCCTTGCGCCGGAAGTTGAGGCCACTAGCCACTTCGGAGACGATCTCGTGGTCGGGGCAGAGGCGTCGGAGCTCAGCGATTTGGCGCTCAAGGTCGGGCCGCTGCTTCTCACTCAAGACCCTGGCGTAGGCGATGCGCTTGCGGGGTGGCCTCATCGTGGTCTGGATGGTGCGTCCATCCTCAGAGCGCGTGACTGCGGGGAATTGAGAGAGGAGGTCGCCGCAGTGGTAGAGCCGCTTGCCCTTGTCGCCAATGCGGCGCATGCGCAGGTTGCCCCGATCAGCCAACTTGCGCAGGCAGGCTGCCGTCACGCCAAAGTATTTGGTGGCCTCACTTGATGGCATGTAGGTGTCTCCACCAGCCTCAATGAGCTGGCGGGTCCGGTGCCTGACGATTGCAGTGTTGCGTGGATTGTGGAGCCACGGGCGTTCATTGGTCTCACCCAGAGGGCCTTGCATAGGTGTCTGTCTGTGACTTGGTTTGGTGTGAAGTGTTGTGTTTCTTTGTGAGGTGCTGACTATTTAAAGCCATGCCTGATGCTATGTGTAGGTTTTGGTCGGTCCGACGGCTGTCTATGAAAACTCGTTTATTTATTTATCTGGTTTTTGTTGGGACTGCCCAGTAATGTTTAGGACTTGAACGGTTGAACCCGCTTTCTTATCGTTTCATGCTCCAAGAAATTGCCCGTCTTGATCATCTCCGGGTGAAGGCTTGCAGGAAGCGCGACACGATGGCCTCCTCCCAAGATCGGGCGTTGTGACTGTGCGGCGCGCGGGGTACGCTGCAGCCAACAGAACGAACGCTTGGTCG